GCTTCTACCCTAGCACGTTTCGTATTCTTGTTTATATTCGGTTTGTTCATGACAGCTGGTAGGTCCCTGAATTATGACTTGCCTTTTCAACCGTGTTGCAAACGATCCCAGAAAGTTCTTCTTTCCAAACAACTAAAGCAATTAAACTCATCTTCCCTCAAATACGATGGTACAACTGCCCACTCTTTCGGACACCACGCACAACACGATCAAATCCTTAACTTTTACTTATGAAAGTGGTACTCTAGAAACAGTGAGTGGACTTGGCTGATCTTTTCCGCTGTAATGTCGACCGCAGCAATTTTTTTTAATATGTTATTCATGAGATGAACACCATCTGGCAAATTCACTCAACTTAACAATTGACTGCAGGCGAAGGAGAGAGCTGACTACGCCATCCATTTGGATAAAAATAAACGAACTAATCTTGATGCGACTCAACCGTTAAACTGACGGCTTCAAATTTTAAGCCCCAATCCCTTCATTAGGGTTAAAGTTGATGGCCCTATAAAACACGCAACAATTTTTGCCCTTTTCGTGATTAAAATCGTACGCCCCGTATGGACATTCATTTCTATTGCGTCTTTCATGGTCTAATTCAAGAAATAGTCCAATCATTTGCACGAGATATTCAAGCAACTTAATTGGCGTGCATCATGGGAGGACTAGGGGTAGATTATCTTGAATGAACCTACAACACAATAAACTCATTTACTTAATCTTGGCAAAGTTACATCAGGCAAGTTGACCAATTAGATCTCAGCGTTGGTCACAATGGAACCATCCACTATTAGCCGTAGAATTAAATACCATTACCAATAAACATTCTCATTGGTGTAGTTTATTTGTTTTCAATTATAACTAGGCCAGACAGACGCCAACCATATGCAACTCATTGGGGCGTTGGCAATGGTTAACAGAACTTTAGTCACAAATATTTTCATTGCCGGGGAGGTTGCTTGTTGAAAATTGATCAAATAATGTTCGTGGGAACCAAAGGCGAGGTATCATGTGCTCACATAAGTTTGAAACACCACACCCTTGTTTGTATCCTGTCCTTTTAGCGGTGAGTCAAACTAAACTTGAAGAATCATTGATGCTTCATTTTTCCTCCTTTTCTAAATGGGAACTAGTGCACATGGATTTCAAGAGCCGTCTATCTTATGGGTTACCTTGGGCAAAACAACTCGCCGATGTAACAGTGAACAGAGGGGGAGAAAATTTTCTATTTTGGATTTGCGTGGGAGTACAGGTTCGTGATCACGTGCAATGGATTTGGACGTATTTGAGGACAGCAAATACCGAATGAGTCTGATTATTTTTAACCCACTCTTTCGCTCCATTTCTATCGGACCAGAACAATCGATGGAGAGGTGACATGTTGTTTCCAGTCCAGACGCGTAGGCAGATAAACTATCCTTTGTGGAGTTAGCAGCGTAAACGGAAATTCAGCATTTGTCGCACTGGTTTGCTTTATTGTTTTCGAAGGCTGTGTAAACCATCACGAAACGAGAATACGCAACCACAGTCTTTTTCAAATTTCGGTCTGCTTAGTTTCATGAGAATGACATGTGAAAATCACTCTGCAGGTCTTGAGCTGGGTGAACACTGAGACTTTTCAAATGATATCTATCCCAAATGTCCAACGTTTATATTATTTCGGTTCAGTGTTATGAGAAGCCACTTGTCAGGCCACATTATGTTCAAGTGTGACATTCCCCCAGTAGAGGAAATGCGGTTATCCGTGAAATTTTTATTACCCATTCACAGGAATAACTGGTGACCAGAAAGGCTGATTGTTCACATTTTTATTCAAACAGATTAAAGAACCAGAATAGTCTTCGTGAGTAATCATACTGAATCAAAATTCACGAACTTCACAATAATCACTCTTTCGTATGACGGAGTGAATACGACATTACCTTATGTTCTTCGCTAACAAAAAACTTCCCCAGAGGTAAACATCACTGAAAGTAATGTACGCTGAAAGTCTTGATCACGCATGTCCTTTATACAAGTGAAAATTCTCAGAAAGCGAACAGAAATAAATTCCGTCTTTTTGTAACTACTTCTATACACCAATCGGTAAACAAGCCGTTTGGTGATCAATAGCGTTCGCTAGTTCAGTGACGCATTGATCAACTATTGGCGAGACTATTGTTACGCTGGTTCTTGACCAAGCCATAAGACCGCGATTTGTTCTTCTCAGGAAACTCACAGTGTGACTTTTGCATAACTGGATGAAAATCGTCAAGCATTTAATTAGTTGTCATCAAAAATGCAAACAAATCTGGTAAAATTATCTCTGAGGCGGTTGAAACATGGGTCCTGCGCGTGAAACTGAGTATGGTTAATCATTCGGCGTCCTATGGTCTTGAAGTACACAGGGATAAACTTCATCCATTCAGTCTGTGAGGAATGAAAAGGAAACCTTTTTTCACACAGGTGTTACACAACGATTGTTTCACATAAAAAATAAACAAATGCTGAAACTGTCGTGGTGTAGTGCTCGACAGATGATTTCACGTCATGCTTTGATCACACAACAGTCTTGTTGTGGGATCCTAATGCAATGCATGCCAATCAAACTATAGCTGAATAAATCACAAGGTACATATGCCAAACTCATGTGTAAATGTGGCAGTTGTGGACTGTGACAATTACTTACTGGCAGACGGATATCAT